CGGCACAAGGGCGCGCGCCTCTCGGAGCCACGCCCGGAGGCGGCGTGCTCCAGCGGCAGGGCTCTCTGGCGAGCGCCGCCCGCGGAGCCACTGCATCCGACGGTTGCGCAGCGGCTGCCCTGGATTCCATAATAAAGTCGGGGGGGTCACATTTGGGGGGGGGTCTGATTTGAGCTGTCTTGGAGGGTTCGGGGGGGTCTGGGCAAAGGGCCGCCCTTTCATGGATGGTCTGGGAGGGTCAAAAAATCTCCGTCTGGGAGGGTTGTGACCCCCTCCCTTTTATTACGAAATCTGGAGTACGTATTGTGTGTCACATTGTCGTGTCTCCCCCCCCCCCGGAGTCGCGCCGCACGCGCGTGCCAGTCTGACGACCCTCCTTCTGGGGCTCAGGAGCATACCAAACCGCAAGGATGATTCAGAAGATCGGCATCGTGGGCCTTCTGGGGGTCCACGAGGGCCTCAAGACGGCTCCTCACGATTGCTTCGAAACGGGCCAAGGCGGCCCAAGATGGCCCCAAGAGGGCCAAAAAGGCTTCCAAGACGGCCCCAGAGGGCCCCAAGGATGCCCCCAAATGCACCTCCAGAGGCCAAACACATTGATTCCCCATAGGTTGTTAGAAAGATTCTAGCGTTAAGTCGGGCCTGTCCCCCTAGAAAGAGACTTTCGACGAAAAATAAAAAATACCCCCAAAAAACTCAAAACAAGTCCAACCATAGTCTGGGGACTATTTTTTGAGTATCTTTCGATTTTTTTGGGGGTATGGTTGGGGCATTTTTTATTTCTCGTCGATTCCCCAAAAATGCACCTCCAGAGGATCCCAAGGATCCCTTTTGATTTCTCGTCGATTCCACAAGAAGGGCCCCAAGGATGCCCCCAAAAATGCACCTCCAGAGGCCAAACACATCGATTTCCCATAGGTTGTTATACAGATTCCAGCGTTCTCGCCCTTTCCGAATCCCAGAGGCCCATGGCGGCTCAAGCGGCCTCCAGCACGGCCCCAAGACGGCGTCGAGGCGCCAAAAAGAGGGCCCCAGGACGGCCCCAAGGAGGGCCCTGGCACGCCCCAAAGAGGCCCCCCAAGACGGCCCAGGAGGCCCCCAAGACGGCCCCAGAGGATCCCATGAGAGCTCCACGTCGGCCGCGAGAGGCCGCAGGACGACCTCCGAAGGGGCCGAACGGCGCAAGAGCACCCCAGGACGGCCCGACACGCTCCCAAGAGGCCCCAAAGACGCCCCCAAGAGACCCTGAGAAGCCCATAAGAGGCCTCCAAGAGCCCCCAAAGAGGCCCCCACCACGCCCCGCAACGACTGGACTGCACGTGCTTCGGACGTGCACCCCGCGAAGCGAGGGGAATCTTTCTTGTGGTCCGACCACTTGCTGCGCCACTCGGCGTAGCCCTCGTCGCAGTAGTCCAGGGGCCTCTCCGTCGTCGACTGCGCTGTCGCGTCACTCGTGGCCGGCGAACACGCAATGCCCTCGTGCAAGCAGCACCAGCTCTTCTTCAGCGTCGACCACCCTCGCTCCCAAAACTCGACGCCCTCGCCGCAGTCAAACCGCTTCGCATCCGAGGATTCCGTGGTCTTCGTGATGGTGGTCGTGGTCGTCGTCGAGGTTCTTGTGGTCGTAACTCGAGACGTTGTTGTGATTGTGGTCGTGTGGTCGCAGGCTCGGCCGGTCTTCTCGCAGCACCACTTCTGCCGCAGCTTGGACCAGTCGAACTCCCTGGGCAGCACGGAGAGATATCTCCCGACCACCGACGCCAAGGAGGACCCGTCATAGAGGGAACGTCCAATGGAATCAAGCCCCAACTGCCCTAACGAGGATGCGGGCGCAACGTGTCCGTTTGGGTGCGACGGAGAAGGCGAAAGCGATAAGTGGGGTAGGCGACCGCTCGCAATGAGGAGGAGGAGGAGGAGGAGGAGGAGGCGGAGGAGGAGGAGGAGGAGGAGAAGGAGAAGGAGAAGGAGGAGAAAGAGAAGGAGGAGGAGCCACGTCACGCCTGCGACACGCGACGACCTGCAAGCGGACAGCACACCGCTCCGCTCCGCGGGACGGGAGGCTTCGGAAGGCTCGGGACGTTGACGCTCGGGGACCAGGGCGTGGTCAGCGTGTCGCGCCGTGGCGTGGTGGCCCAGAGCCCGCGGCGCGACACCCTAAGCAGACGTACCTGACCGCAAGCATATGCTCACTGCCTTGTGTGCTTCGCCGCCTTATCGGCACCCGTCTCTGCTGATGCTCGGCTTCGGGGGTGCCGGGGCACCGCTGCACACCTTACTCGTATGGCGCTCTCAAGCCCGTGCCTTTTCACTACGCGTGTCAACGTTTCGCCCCTGCTGGGGCTCGTCAGGACTCGAATGAAAATGGCAGCGGCATGCGAACACAGCAAGTGCATGATCGACACAATACTGCGTGCAATGCGATACGGCAAACAAAAACACATGCATGCATGCGGCGATCTCTCAACAACACCCCTGTATTGGATGACTGCTGCTTCTGCCGCCGGGAGGGGCAACAAATCGTGCCCCCCCGCCCTCACTTGAACGAAGGATTGCAAAAAACCCAGGGCCCACCCTCAGACCTGAGCCTGAGGTGGCCGTAAAGGACGAGCGCTCGCAGGAATCAGAGCTTCTGGCGTGGTCGGTGGATTCTTTCAGACGCCCGCTACCAGGTGTCGAAATCCGTGGTGCAGTCGTACGGCGGTGAGGTCGACGTCGTGGTGGTGGTCACACAACCTCGTAGGGACTACACAATTGATCGCTACTTTTCGTCCTGCTTGTGCGGCTCCTCATGCCGCTCCTCTTCGCGCTCCTCCTCGTGATTATCCTCCTCCTTCTCCTCCTCCTCCTCCTCCTCCTCCTCCTCCTCTCACAACCTTTGCCAGAATGCGTGCAGCACCATCGGCACTTCGCGACAGACCAGCGCTCTTCCCACTCATCGTAGCCTTCGGAGCCGTGCACACAAGGCGGGTCGTGAAATCCGTCTCCCCCTTCATGGGGGAGGGGGGCAGGAAAGGAAAAGGAGACGACGCGGACAGGGCAGGCCATCGGAGTCGGCCGACACACCTGCAGCTGTTTAGCTGCCCGAGGCCTTCGGAGCAATCATACCTGTCCGCACTGCTTGTCGTCGTCGTCGTCGTGCACGCGACGCCTTTCGGCGATACGCAAGAGTAACCCTGGGTAAGAGTGCCCTTCGGGGCGCGGCTTTTTGGGGGCCGCGAGGTGACCAAACACACGCATCGCGTTCGACGATCGGGGAACCCCAATTGGCCCGCACCAAAGGTCACTCCGGCGGAGGGTCACTGTTACGTGAAGTCGAGCCCTCAGTGCTGCAGCACCAGCTCATCTTGTCCGCGGACCACGTCCTCTGCCAGTCCGACAGGCCGGCCCTGCAGTCGTGCCTGGGGCCGGTGGTCGTGGAGGTGCACCCGCGCTGCTCGTGGGCGCAGCACCAGGACTGCTGCCGCCTCGACCACACTTC